CCCTGTACGTTTTCGATTTTTCAAAAGTTATGACCGTTTGAATCAGCACATGTACGAGCATTCGCGATTTTTTCGCCTACACCAAAATCGAACCACTGGAGCAGATTTCGTCATAAATACAGCTTACCCGCTTTGCAGCCCGTCTTCATGGCTCACTTCAGAATTTTTCTAATAACCAAATTGGTGAAATCCATGATAACTGCAACAAATAGCGAGGTATTGCCTTCGAAAAGTAGGCGGCATCCATCGTGATTCGTGGTATCAAAACAAATGTCGGAATTGGCCACATTTCGCGGTGAATCACCCATTTAACATCGCTGCAGAGCTGAATTTTTTCCAAAATCAGGATATAAACTCTCCATGTCTGGAAGCTGAGGGAGAAATGAAGGTTTTAGGCTTCTGAAGTGAAGAAATGATCGCTTAAATTTAGATCCAGTTCGATGTTATACTGTTCTCACAAAGGTCCGCACAAAAGAGAAGACCGCTGATAGCTTGTGTCGTACGTTGTGCCATATGGTTTTGTTTTGTATCCCAGAGTAATATTTAGGCAGAAAAATTTTGGATGAAAAGAATAAATGCTTTTACCTGGAGTTTGATATCATATAATTAATAAATCAATTTCAAATATCCTGAGCTTGCTTCTCTCGGTTCCGCGTCGATTGTGTCCACAGAACAGCAACCTGTCAATAGCCGGAAAAATCGGCTACCAACGTGTTAAAAACTTGACACATGCTTCGTATGAACAGATGTTATAAGTATTGCTTTTGGTAAATTTTCAATCGATTTCATCAAAAAATTTCACTGACTACTAGATATTATAATATATTACACTATAACAACGCCGCCAGAACTTGATATCGGAAGTAAAGGTAGTTTGTATCTGTAGAGCATATTCTACACTTTCAGCCACCGTATAAGACATTGTTTACATAAGTCTACTGAGAAACACACTGACAATCATTAATCACGTCCGACAGTTTGTCTATGAGGATCTGTTTTTTGTCTCTCAATTTTACAGGGATCTCAAAATGACTTCAGATGGCTCTCAACAAAACCACATTGAATTTCTGAAGTGTGTTATTGTGGTAACGTTCACAGAGGTGCTACGTATCGTAGCAGATTGGATGTGAGACTTTGATCTCATTGTTAACTTTGTCTACCAAATCTTATCTCTCGGAATTTTCCTGGACGCATTGGATATCTTCCTCCTCATCCAGTGATATCCCGATCACACCCTGATCTTTTCACCGCATTGCTGCTAGCCGGGAGAAAAAGCTCTGAACTTGGCTCTTTGTCAGCCACTGTTCTCTAGCGAACAAACGTGCATTTGATTCATTTTTCGCATTTCGCATGTCCACTGCAACTTGGGCGGGGTCGGCCTTTCGCCCAGTTCTTTCTCCAAGTGTAAACCGTGCCATTAGGTATTCTTTTACCTTCTCTGAAAATCTTACGCTGCCCCTTGGTTTGCTTACGGCCCATCCTGTTCGTAAAGACGAGTGGGGCGAAGTATCCACGGGAGAAGTGAGTGGTGTACTAGAATCTAACGAACAGCTCGAACACTCGATACCAGCGGTATCTATCGACGAGAACTTAAGGGCCCAGTCCCTTTTGATTGCATCATACTAGCTTTAACCTGCTGACTTTATGCTTTCCAACGTCCAGGTGCAGCTCCAGCTGCGAAAAGGTTTCGAACACTTCAACACATCCAAACACAGAGCATTCAAACAATGGCGTTGTACTCTCTGTTTCCTTGCTGCCCTTTGAACGACGCTTGACCACACGCTTTTCAGGAGGATCATAAAACCCTTGAGATTCTATGGTTTGAAGGGACGTTTGACCTTGGTGCTTGATATAAATTACGTCATATGGAATGTACATCCCTTTACCGATGCCATAACATTTCCAAACTCTCAGACCGATATCTCCATATTCGAAGTTGTGGAAGCTACTAAAATGCTCAATCTTATTTATACAGAGAGTGTTCTTTGATTCGTCTACTATTCTTACTGCAGCTGTTGTTCCCTTCACTGGGTGTTTCGTCAATGCGTATCCTCTGTCCAATGAAAGCTTTAACAACCTCGCTGAAGACTCGCTACAGACTGAAGCCTCTCTGGTTTCGAAAAAGCACTTGCATGCCATACTACACTTGCAGGCCTTCCAAAAAAAATAAAGGGTCAGCGGGTTCACCCGCAATGATTAATGCGGACCTCTGTTATGCGCGATAGTGCAATCGTTCAGCTTTAAATTCCAAAACGCCAAACTTCGACACATAGACTTACAAGTGGAGTTCTATGACTGATTCTTGAAGAGAATGCAGCTGCAATCCAAAGTTTCAACGAGACATTAAGCGCGAAACATGGCTTTAGTTTTCGAGTTTAGTTCGCAACAACGAGTCAAAGAAGAGTATCGACAGATGCCAACCGCTGAATTTTGGAGGTATTTGCTGGAGTTATCCAGTTCACCAGTTTGAGAAGCGAGGAATATCTGAAATTTCACATAAACCCATGATTTCTCCAGCTGTTGACAGGTTGCTGTTCTGTGGACACAATCGACGCGGAACCGAGAGAAGAAGGCTCAGAATATTTGAAATTGATTTAGTAATTATATGATATCAAACTCCAGGTAAAAGCATTTATTCTTTTCATCCAAAATTTTTCTGCCCAAATATTACTTTGGGATACAAAACAAAACCATATGGCACAACGTACGACACAAGCTATCAGCGGTCTTCTCTTTTGTGCGGACCTTTGTGAGAACAGTATAACATCGAACTGGATCTAAATTTAAGCGATCATTTCTTCACTTCAGAAGCCTAAAACCTTCATTTCTCCCTCAGCTTCCAGACATGGAGAGTTTATATCCTGATTTTGGAAAAAATTCAGCTCTGCAGCGATGTTAAATGGGTGATTCACCGCGAAATGTGGCCAATTCCGACATTTGTTTTGATACCACGAATCACGATCGATGCTGCCTACTTTTCGAAGGCAGTACCTAGCTATTTGTTGAAGATATCATGGATTTCACCAATTTGGTTATTAGAAAAATTCTGAAGTGAGCCATGAAGACGGGCTGCAAAGCGGGTAAGCTGTATTTATGACGAAATCTGCTCCAGTGGTTCGATTTTGGTGTAGGCGAAAAAATCGCGAATGCTCGTACATGTGCTGATTCAAACGGTCATAACTTTTGAAAAATCGAAAACGTACAGGGGTTTTTGCATATTTTTGCCTATAAAGGTCTAAACTTAACGGCTGTGTAGGATAGAATCGTCAACCAGGTCCCAAATCCCAAAACTTAGCGTCTAAATCAAGGTTATTTACGGCCATCGGCCGATGGCGATTTCTAGTGGTCAGAATATGCTAAAATTCGCCTTTTCAAATATGTTGAGAGGGCAAATTCTAACTTTCTTGGCAAACTAGAAAGGTTTTTAAGCAATCTGATATAAATTCTGTGACTTAACTATGCGAATCGAATATTTTACAATGTTACAAAATATGCCTATTTTTCAATTTTCGAGACGTTGCGACGGTCCCTACGGACTGGGAAATAATTGTGGCCCGTAATGCAGTCAGAAAATTATTTCGAATCAAACCAAATCTAATTTAGTTCTTTCCTAGGTAAAGTCTTTCTGTTAACAGAGTTTCAGGAAAAATTATTTTTGACGCAAAATTGACCGGGTGGAAATAAGAGAGACAGCCTCTTAATTACGATTAAGGAAACTGATAGATAAGCACCATCCCTTGATGAGTTCCTTATCAACTAAACAACAAGATTTTTCAGAGCGGCACTCATTTTTAACTTTGAAGGTGAAGAGTTCAAGTCGACGGCCTTGGTCTCGACAATTCTCAAGATAAAACTCGATGGAAAACGTCGCTAATGTAAGCCTGAACTCGTTTTGCTTCAATAATCTCAATGTAATTTTAGAGTTTTTTTAAATAAAACACGAGAAGTTTAAAATATAGGCTATAACTATTATAAGGACCATAGAGACTACGGTAAGAAATTACATGAGCACTGAGAAGACATTGATCTTTCTTTTTTTATCTTTTATCATCTTTTTTTTTCTTTCGGAAATCGTTACAAAACAAAATTAATTGCAATGGGAGAAAATTCGTCGTTGACGCGCGATTTGACCGCCACAGGTGATCGCCGATTTGGACACAAATTGTGGAAATATCGAGAAGGAAGATTTTCTCAACCGTCTGATGTCAAATTGAAATAGTTGTATTTCAAGCGAAAGGGGGAAAGACTGTGTGCATTATAACTTGATAGGCACTCAGATTCCCTCGGAAAAAGAGGAGAAATAATAAATGGAAAAAAAAGGGAAGATGTTTTTAATTGCCATCGACTAATCTACATCCCTCCAATATGGCGCTCAAATTCGCATTCACAGAAACACCATCATGTGACATTTTGTCAAAAGACTTACAGAGGATGTCTTTCTACTGATCAGATCATAAGTAGTATGAAGATGACTTTCATCTGAAAATGCCAAAGTTAGTGGCGGGAATTTAAGATCGAATAATTTTAAAAGTGATTGTGGTAGATCTTTAGATTTAGTGAATTAAAACACAGTGAAAAATTTTGTATATTCAATCCATCGCGGCCTGATTTAATATAAAGCATGAACATAAAATATGTCAACTAAGATAAGTATGCGGTTATCAATTTGCAGAGACTTGAATTTTACGCCATTAGCTGTCGATAATGTGTTGCCTTCGCTCGCGTTGAAATGAGAAAGAGTTTTCAACTTGAGATCATGAGAAAACATTTTACTGAGACTTTAGTAATTTTTGGGGGAATGAACATTGCGTATATTTCTTCTTGCAAATATAACAGATAAGCAGAAAAAGGAATTTTCATTGTTGCCGTATGCATCCTCTGATCGAGTAGAATATTAGCCTTCTCTTTTTCTCTTTAATTAGTGTTTTTTAACACAAGAAAGATCTCTTATATTATGGTACAATTTTAATACAGCGTATGGTATTTTTGAGATGCTCGATGGACAGAAAAGAGGTTTTCAGTACTGGGATAAAATAATCTCCTTCTTCACGAGAAACGATAGGAAGAGGCTGGCTATAAGGCCGTTAAACAATTGAAGCCAGCACTTAACAACCTTTCTTCTTACGATACATTCTCTTTCACCGCCCTCTTGACGAGATTTTCTGAATAGAAAGAAAAATAAGTCGCACAGGTTATAATTTAGCAGTTACATATGTCATCTAAATGTAAACTGCAAGCTGTGAATTCTTAAAATGAATTAAACTCCTCCTGTGTCCTTCGATGAAGCATCTGTCCAATGTGAAGATGTTTTTCTATACCAACATCGTGTCTATCAGTGGAAAATATTTATTTGTCGAATAAGTGCCTCTCAAAAATCCTCTCTGATCATTTGATGACGAATGGTTCGTTTAGTTAACTTGACTTGCACGACTCTTTGTTGACTGGTCTCTTTTGAAATGAGAGGAGGTGAAGATTGATAATTTCTTCTCTTTTGGGATTTCAGTACCTTGATCCGTTTGTAAACATGGCAGGAATTTCTTGAGTATTTCTAAAACATATCTCCGTATCTCTCTCATCCGCCAGCAGTATAAGATGGGATTCACGGACGAATTAAAAAATCCTAATGTCAATGAAAACTGAAACATTCCTTTCAGAAATAATCCGTGCTCAGACGTTACTATGATCAGCATTGTACCTGTATAGGGGAGATAACAAGCGGTGAACACGATGTAAACATACAAGATGTTGACGGCCGATTTAAGCTTTCTTTTGCTTAGCGCTAATTCTTTGCAATTTTCACTTGCCGTTTGTTCTTGAGATTTTATCTGCAAACGATGTTTGCGGACAGCGAAGTAGATTCTTACAAAAGTTATGGTGGTTGTGACGAAAAATATTATCGCAAATGTGCTGGACACTGCCTCTCGGTTAACATCTCCCATGAACAGGTAACCGAGAGCTGCAACTGCGCTGAGCGTCCAGAGAACGGTCAGAGTAATGCTTACTCTCTTTTCTGTTACAATTTCCCTGTAACGAAGATGCAGGCTGATAGCGAGGAAGCGATCAAAACTGATCGCGGAAACGACGAAGAATGAAACGCCAGTAAGAAAAGTTCCTACAACCAGAAAAGCAATCTTTGTTTTGCACTCAGAGTCATCCGGAGAAGCAGAATCACTTCGGAGCATCTCAAATATCATGGAGATGTACAAGGGCTGTACGACTAAGCCAACACCTAGATCGGAGAAAGCCAAACCAAGCAGCAGTATTTGCGAAGGAGATAAGGCACAAGTTGTCTTTGTTAGGGCACAGATGATAATCGTATTGCCAAATATCGCAGAGAGAGCCAAAATTCCGTTGATTACACAAAGCGCGATGTACCAGCTATAAAAGTCGTTCGTGTCGGGATAGTACTTGGAAATATCGTTACAAAACTCTTTTACTACCTTCATTGTGTTCTGTCGACGATGCCGCTGTAGACTGCAGAATATGTTCAAAGAATAGTCAGTCAATTCTCGCCCCGTGTACTTAATTTGAAGCCAAATTCATAAACTACGAATAGCTGGTTATTCAAAATTAAAAAGAAAACCAAGGTATTAATTGCGGAAAGAGTAGAAACAAAATTTCAATAAGTTAAAACGAAAGTTTATAACTCCACAAAAAAAAAATCTGCGTGAACGTGATATGTTTTCGAGTCAGTTTGTTTTATGCAAAATCGTGGGAACTGTCATATTTGCTCTTTTTTTGAGAGGGACACTAAGATGTCAGATTACCAGGTGCAAATGGCATCAATCATCATCAGTTCACTAAAGGGTTTCAGAAGATACCAACGCGACAATACGGCGGCAATAGACAATTTCCACGTTATCACCTCGTGCTCTTTGAATTGGATGCTTGTATTAAACTAAACAATACCAGAATCAAAATCAAACTCACCTGATCCACAAGGTCTTTTAATTCACACTGCTTCACGATCGTATGAATTTTGGTTAGATTAATTATGGAACAACTGAAACCCTCTGTCAATACCACCGTCCTTGCAACGAACATAAAAAAAAAATTGTCATTACTATTCGTTCTAGACCCCTTTGCAGTTACAGAATTATTAAAAGGAACTGAGAATGATTATGCTTTTATTATATTTTTTCTCACAGTTTATCATAACATCCATTTTGTTTTTAATACAACTCAGTATAATTTGCAAGTTTTGGGATCTTTAACACCTTTGACGGCTGGTTTAGAAAACATTTCATTGAAACATTGTGCGTACTTATATAATTTCTGAATTTGTTTTTATTTTGATATTCTTGTCGGGCTTAAAAATTCGCCGAGATTGGTCAAACGACTTCTTGATGAAAACGTAGAAAACGATTTGAGACTTTGACCAACAATGTCTACGTCTTATAAAAATTCTACTGTTAGAAAAGATATGTCGATTGCATTAACTGAACAGATATTTGATACTTTGAAAAGGAAAGGACATCTATGTTAGACTTTCAAAACAACTCTTAAAAAATGTATTTAAATGAAAATGCTATTAATCCGGCACATTTCGCTGAAAATAATTTTTTTAGATGAGAATTCACAAACAGAAGATTTCTCCAGCGCATCCAATTACCATCACTATTGTTTGGGACATCATTCAGTAGCTACCCAGGAAAACCGAATCAAACTTTTTGACAGTGTTCAAAGAGAAATATTCAGAAAAAGCAATTATGTGTTATTCAAGTTCTTAGCTAATTTGTTCATTCTAAAGAACTTACGTCGCATTGGTCCCACGAAATATTGTAACATCTGCACGCGTGGGCTCGAGTTACCAAAAAATTACACATTCAACTCGAAAAAAAGGTGAAAACTTCAAATGTCTATCATTTTCAGTCATTTTCTGGCCTTTTTTATTTATTAGCAGGCTTCTGTAGATATGATTCTGAGGAAATAAAAGATGGCCTTTTAAAAATATACATCGTAATATGCGCAGAAAAAATAAAGAGCTGTTTTTCATCAGTGGAAGAAACATTACGAAGCGATATTAAACATATTTAGCCTCAGCTGGTTTTCCGGAAACATTCTATTAAGTGAAACATATATTGGAAACTTAGTATTTCAGTTAAGTGAAAACCAGTTACAAGTACGAGAAACTGAAAATTGCCAAATTTCAGTAAGGCACATCAAAAATTTCCGCCGTGTATATTTATTCGATCGTTGCCCTTATGGCGGGTGTAAAAACTGAACCCCGTTTCTCCTCTTTCAATAAGTAAATAACTAATTGTTTCCATAACAACCCCGATAAACAAATGAGAAGATTGCGAAGAACTGTTATAGATAGCAAAACCGATTTCATAAACGTATGTTGGGTTCCTTCGTCGATTGCTTTGTAGGAGCTCGTTTGGATGCGAGTAATCAAAGACGGATAACGCTATCCAAGGATCAATCGCTATCCAGCGATTAGTGTCCGGATAGCGATTTATTCAGCTGATGGCATCTTTCCCTTGAACAAAAGCACTGAAACCTTTACGAAGCGTATATCAAATTTTACAGCACCGAAATCCCTTCTTCGTTACCAACTCTACTTACTTGAGTTCTTTCCGAAAGCTAGGGAGACGGTTTTCTAATTGAAGTGTTTTTTTTCAAGCTGTTTTAATGTCCAAAAGCGACAAGTCCCTTTGCCGTTACGAAAAAAGGAAAATTTCCTCGCAGTTCGCATCGGAGCAGAACTATTGTTCGCTGATAGTTATAGGGGTTCCTACTAGACTAAAGAGATTCAATGGCCAGAGTTTATTCCTATCAAGGTTGCCGTAGGCGCTAGTTCGCGAAAAATATCGCTGACAGTCCATCAATTCGCATAGCATTGCACTTCGAGCATCAATCTTTGAAAAGTTGTGTTGTGCTTCGAGCGTAACTCTTCTTCCTCTGCCTGACCTCTTTCCTCCTATTTTTTCTGGTTGAAGCACCTTAATATGGACACAAATAGCTACATATTCACGCGTGTTGCACTTAACTTCCTCAATCAAACGCTTTACAAATTGTGTCCGCTCCTCGTAATCTAACACGCTTCAGCACCGACAGGTGAAACAGTGTCAGTGGCTTGCTCCAATGTGATTGGATAACAGCCTCAACAGGCGTGAAGTGGAAATGCGTCGTCAAATAAACTTTTCGTGTAAATCATCTCGGCGAGAAAAAATAAACTCCTATTCTGTTCAGTGATTAAAATAATAGAACTGAATTGAATATCCGAAATCAGTGTTTCTTAAGCTTGACGAGAACGTAAACTTTTACAAGGATGGCAAGCATAATAAATACAATGTGTTAGTTTAAACTTTCGTACTTTTTTTTTACATTTCTTTTTCGGCATGATGAAGTCACCCATAAGCTTGACCGTGTTAGCTTTAGCCGTTCTTTGTTATGTTAGTAATGGAGTTGCCGGTATACACCTAAAGCGATGTACAAAAAAATAAGGGAAGAACCAGAGCCACAAAAGACATCTGTGATAAAGGAAGGTCCATGTTTAATGTAGAAAGTGGCGGACGGGCGTGAGCTGCAGGAGTGGAGAAAGGTCCGATAATTTGCCTTCGTCACCGAAACGAAGTTGATAAATTTGACAATCGATGCACTTTCCTCCATGTGACACCCAAACAACTCATCCGTCTTCACTTCTCCACCTAACGGAACGACTTTCTTTTATCAAGCGGTAGCTGGACTTAGCAGAGAAACGTCACATTGTTATCGCCAGGGACGATATGCTGTATGTATTGACGCAAAACTGAAGAAAGTATCCTCAAAGGCAGAATCCCAGAACAATACAAAGCACCAGCAAAAAGACAGGTACATTTGTACCTTTGGGAATGTAAAAGTAAGATTGCTTGTGGTATGTAACCCGTCTCCTTGGTTGCAAATATAGTAACACTCATTAAAAATATGCAGCATGAATCTGCTCGGTCCAAAAATACAACCTCAAAGCTTTCTCCAAAGACCAAACTTTCTAAGGTAAAAGGTGCTTTTTGTGATAATGCAGAGAAATTATAGTCATTAGAGAATTTTATCTCATCAAGTTAAATTTTACAGATTTTTTTTCTGTTTTCGACAGGTGAAGACAATACAAACAGGCCTTTAGGACTCAGTAAATGGTGTTTATTATAAGATAAAATTACAATAATTGAGAGGGAAAAAAATCAAGACATTGACAATGGACCGCTTAATACAGGGTGACCGCTTAACACAATACATACAGGTTCCACTATTCACTGTTCGCTGAAACCGTAGTATTAATAACTTACCACTGACTAAGGGCCATTTAAGCCCCTGGCTTTGGCTCCTCTGCGTTGTGATTTAGCGATGTGAAAGAATTGAAATGAATTGAATCTGTTTTTCTTTTTTTAACTTTTGATCTTGAAACTGGATATATTATCACATGAGAAGAAAAAAAACCGCATCATATCTAGGACCATTTAGCATCTTGGATTTTCCTGGGATGTGGGTATGGCGGTCAAATATTTTGTTTTTGCTCTTTTTGTTATTGAAGAAATGTAAAATGGTTTCCGTGTTTACATAGCCTGATGTAAACACTTGGGAGGTTGGGAGAACGCGAGATAAGCGTAGGAAACCACGACGCGAAGCGGAGTGGTTTCCAGCTTATCGAGTAAACACGGAAACCATTTTAAAACACGGAAACCATTTTACATTTCTTTTATAAAATAATTAATGAAAGAGGAACGAAAACCGTGTTTACATACGCTCATGTGGTTTTATGGCCAATCAGAGCGCGCGTACTATTTGAATTATTTTATAATATCTTGTGGCTCACCGTACATATTTACCAAAGTTGTGGGGTTTCTTGTGAAATTTTGGAGGAGTTGCGGTCGCCTAAATGTCCTATTTTCAGACGACGAAATTGGAGGTCCCGCGGTTTACAAATCCTGTTCACAATTTAGCAGACCGTATCAATCGGACTTGGCTTTAGTGGGGTTTTGCATTAACCAACAAAAATCTGGTTGGCAGTCCTCTTAATCCGGAGTCTGGCTTGGTTATCAGTTAGACTTTGCAAATTACCAATTGTCTGTTCCAGAAGCCAAGATTTTGAAGCTAAAGGACTGTTTTTCTTAATTTTGAGACAGTCTCTTTCTACAGCTAAGGATCCCACAAGCATGCATAGCCCTCAGTTCAATTCGATGTTTATGGTTGTTAGCGACATCGTTCGTTCTGTGTTATGCTCATGTTTCCCCACAATTCTCCCACTCCAAAAACACCGATGAAATTGTAACGCCATTATAAAGCTATGCAAATATACTTTACTATTGTTAGACATTGGCGCTGAGTCACGTTTCCGTCCCAAACAAACTTGTCAGTTGAAAGATAATTTGTTTTTATAAAATAATTCAAATAGTACGCACGCTCTGATTGGCCATAAAACCATTTTACATGAGTGTATGTAAACACGGTTTTCGTTCCTCTTTCATTAATTATTTTATAAAAGAAATGTAAAATGGTTTCC